GTGGATATTGTTTAAAATAGGCATAGGTAATTTTAACGTATCGAAGCATATCAACACTTAGGAATCAAAGCTTGTCAACCCGTTTCAACATTATACAGTGTCCAAATAATATTATCAGCCAAGTGGCTTATTTTTTCGGAAGTATCCTGTCTTCCTAAAAATGTTAATCCACATGAGAATTGTTATTTATTTGGAAAATATGTCACTGCGTCTAAAATGAAAGTAAACTAAAATAAGTTGCTACACTACAGTGATAGGCTCGTCATTTTGCGCATAATCATCATAGGCCAACAGACAGTGTTTACCACCCAATGCTCGAATAATACTAAAATGGCATGATAAAGAAATGAATGACACCTTTCCCCCATCATGACAATAACTATTGCGTAAATACTATCCGTTTAAAAACTTAGTTTCAGTACTTACATCAGTTAACAGTTGTGAGAAAATTTATGAATCGAACAGCTAAGTTAACCCTAGATCTGGCATTGGTCCGCTAAGTTAAAAAAACTAAGTTTTTAAATTCACAATGTGGTTCAGAATTAGGTAATTGGATAAAAACTTACACTCATCTAGTTAGCAGCAGAGATTCTTGCCTAATTTAAATTTTGTTTTAAATTTGTACTAGTAGTTCCATAGTAACCAAATATCCATCATACTATTAAGTTTTATGAATTTGAAATCCATTAGCAAGACTTTTCTTAATGGTGATATTTTTTGTGAATTGATTTTTAGTTTTTAAATATGTAAATTTCCATTACCGTATGTTTTTCTTCATTCTAAATCAATTGCATTTTTTAATGTTTTTATCTATTTTAGATATCAGATTAAAGTCAGACTTTTTGACACAACTTCTTGCAAACATTATCAAATGCAATTTTACTGTGTCGTTTTGTTTCTTAAGAGTTTATCCAATGATCAAATTTGTAACGTTTTACTAGATATCCCATCTATTGTCAGAAATCAGTAATTTGTACCAGTAAATGTGTATTTTTCATCACCACCATGAGCAACTCTCGTAAGGAAATATACTCTGGGAACCTATTCAAATAACTTTAAAATTGTAGTGTCTATTAATATTTGTTTTCAATTTATTAATATGAAAATTAAACTAAATTGCCACAAATTGACAAATGTGACTGCACTCTTTTGACAATGATCTTTCACATACAGTAGACTCCCTCTTATCCGGACTCCTCGGGACCGAGGCCAGTCCGGATAACGGGTTTTTCAGTTAAACCGATGTCCCCCAAAACTCGTTGACACTGACCATTTACTGTGATATTCGACTTAAATTTAGCAGAGCATTGTATTTAGACACGTGATCACTGGTCTCAAATCTTTTCCACGAGAACAGTCGTTTCAGTACCGCCCACTTCCTGCCCGTCTAGTCCGGTTAAACCAATGTGCTGATAAAAATTGTCTGGTTAAAGAGATGTCATTTCTGCCAAGTGTAGTCCGGTTAAACCGATGTCCGGTAAAAAGGTGTCCGGATAAGAGGGAGTCTACTGTAGTGAATAAAGGCCAGAACCTTGTGTAAAAAAGACGTTTCACGGTTTTTTTATTGTAACAACTGTGCTTTATATTAAAGAAATGCGATAACATCCCGTAGAAACTGGATCCATCTGTACTGATTTCATTTAATAAAAATCAAAAATGGGAAATAGACCTTACATGTACAGTACTGACAGTTACATACCATCGAAGTTCATGAAGCAAACAGCTCTAGTCAGTGAGGGGTTGCCTAGAGGAGAAGAAGATGCAGTCAGCTGTTGGTATCTTATTGTCTCCCATTGCCTTGCCTTTCACCTTCATCAATCTGATGTTGTTGCCTGTGGCTCTCTCTAAGTCGTCCTCTTGGGTTTTCTTTAGTTTCTCCTGCCACCTATCACAGTAACATAGTACGAAGACCCTTGAATTTACTCGGGGCAGAAATCAATCTCGTTGTGGCCAATTAGCACTTATTCGTCAGGTTACTGATAATCCAAGAGCTGGAATTCCAACAGTACTTCAATTAAATAAAATTGTATTTCCACGGTAACACCAATTTGAAGGAAAGTACACAAAAAGACTATAAGTGATACTAGAAGACATTAACTAGACGATATAAATATTACAGGCTAAACTGTACTCAGGGAGTGCGGTTAGTCAAAGGGCCGACACTACTCACACATATGCAGGCCTTACACACTTACGGATGCAAGTTATAGGACATTTCATTGAGAGTGTGCGTGCAAGTGTCGGATCTCTCGCAGGTAGCGTTGAGCTCCAGCCTGGGCAAACAAGGGATTTGCAAATGTTGATGTTCATTTTCAAGGATAAACTAATAGTCCTTGATTTCTAGAGTTAGAGGCACAAAAACTAACAACAACCTAAAGGAAGTTGGAAGTTGTAACTCTTCTTCTCTTTATAATAATAATATCTATTGCTGTGAAACAAATATAATATTGCATGGCATCCGTCAACATTTAACACTAATACCGAAACCCCACATAGGCTGACGTTAACCGAAACCCCCGGTCTGTGAGACCCCATTTGAAAAATAATGGACTTTGCTTAGAAACGCACAAACCGAAACCCTCGGTCTGTGAGACCCCGCTTTAAAATACACTAACGCTGGGCTTCTGAGACGGACATGTTATGAACAGACGACCTGTCAAGGTCACGGCACCCATGCAAAATGAACAAACGATATATCAATAGGTAGGGGAGGAAAAGGGGGGAAGGTATTGGGGGAATGGAATCTACCAAGTAAACAGTGTTGCCAACATGCGTTTTTGAAAATTCCTGTGGGCCTGTCAGACCAGGGTTTCGGTATTAGTGTTAAAAAGAGGTTTTGAACTACAGATCAAATAAAAATGTCATGTTCATTTTAAAATTGTTTTTAAGATATAGGTACATATTTTGAGGATATTAAGTGAAAATTGTAAATCTTAACCTCGTGTATTTAGAAATAAAAGGATGTACAGATGGAGCCACTTTAAAACCTCAGCACCCTTAACTTTTTGCAGATACGGCAAGGATTAAACTTGTCACACTCAAACTGAACTCTATACTCTAGTCTAGAAATAATAACTATCCTACAATACCTGTTTAACAGTTTCCTCTTTGACTTCTACAAACTGCATCTAAGGAAGCCTCCAAGGCAAAATGTCCTGGTGGTTTGTGTAACAGCTATCGTCGTGTCTGTGTGTCAATCAGTTATGGTGTTACACTTAGCACACATCTCTACAGCACTGCGCTCCTTGCACTGTGCTGAGTGGCAAAATGTTCTGTAATACATAGCATTAGTGTTTTTATATAAAAAAACCCTGGCTTCCTTCAAAATTGTTGAAGTGATAGGCTTAGGAAAAACTTTGTATGATCATCAAATGTCTTCAGTTTGTTTGAAAATAAGTCAGAATTAGAGGAACATGCATGAAAAGGAGGTGGTCCAATTAAATGGATTTGATTCATCTTACTCTCCTACAATTTACCAATCTTATATCAGTTGAATAGTCTTTAGAGTGTAGAATATGATGACTAAATTTATTAGGTACCTAAAGAAAATGGTTTGATCTTTATTGAAGTATTTGAAACTACAAACCAAGGCTATGGTCAAAACTAGTTGTGGTTGAAACAATTTTTTATTAATATATCGCAAGAAAAAACAGTGACTATGTAATACAGTAGTGTGTAAAGTAACTGAACATTCAAAATTTAATGTCTAACTATAGCATACCCTACAGTTTCGTACTTACATATTGGTTTCATCGTATAACACCTTCTGTTTTACCATATTCACGTAAAATTGACATTTTGGTCTAACCTGGTGCAAACTTAAAATTTCCATAGAAACGGGACTAGTTCAAAAACTTTAAACTCTTATTATGCAAGTATGTTTAAGTAGTGACTTATAAGAGGTGAAATAGAGTTTGGGATGTCTCAAAAACAATAATTTGGGAGTCTCATGCACATCTACATGGGTTGAAATAGTTCAATATACTATGAATTCTACAATAATAGGATTTAAAAATATAATTTTGAAAATTTGTACTGATAGTGTATTTTTTTTATTATAGAACATGATCAAACTATTCTCATTCTGAAAATAAACTTGTTGGTTTAGCTTAAAGTATCAGAGATTTATTGTTTGAATATGAATAAAATGAATTGAATAAAATATAAAATTCAAAATAAGTTTTAAATACAATTTTAGACAAATCTCCATACTAATACGCCAAACTAAATAAGAAGACAAGGAAATTGATGCCTGTTTAAGCAAGTGCCGACAGGACTATAACTGGTTGTCTGACTTCTGTATAATCTATTGTAATGTCGTAAATGATACGTTGATTTATTGTTGGCAAGATGCTCGCTGGTAGTCTGACATTGAATTGTCTATTGTGCAATATGTTCTATGAGAAAAGCAGAAGGTAAACAAAAACATCGTTGTTGTTATGAACATGAGACTGTGTCTCTAATAGTTTAAAGTTGGAAATAAGATGTTGTGCATTAATTAATGGCTACAAACTTCTTTCAATTTTTTTTTTAAGAGGTTGGCGGCCTCTTTTAACCTTGCATTTGCCTGTCCACATAGACTACAGATCTGTGCGTGGAACGTATCCAGCAAAGCAAGGGGTGAGCCGGTACAGTACAAAGGTGAACTGTACTGATAAAAGTTAGTGGCAGTGACCAGGATCCGAACCCACAACACTTCTGCCTTGGGCCAGAAGTCCGAGACGCTACCGACTGAGCCACCGACTCACCAATGTCAATTATCCTATCTACTGTTGAGAATTAGTAGTGTCGGCTTCAACTATTGACAAATATTCTCAACACTGATATCAATTCCAAAGAACCGATGGTATCGAGATTCAACACATCCCTAATTAAAATATACTGGTATTCCTTCCAAAACCTAATTCGTAAAATTTAGTTATTACTATTACGATACTTAAGAGCCCATGTATTTTAATAACATTCTGTGTCAGAATCTTATCAAATTTTTGTTGTTTCAGTGGATGGTCCTGCTCCTGACTCCATCACTGGTCACGGGGGTAGTTTGTTTAACGGAGACTCTCACGTGCTCTACTGGTCAGATGTCAGCTCCGAGATAGCTTTTGTAGTGCCGACCTTGACTAGGAGAAGTAAACACTTTCAACAATACCAGCATGACCCAGGTATGTACTGGGTACTAAGTGTTTTTGAAGTAATAGTAAAATTATTTAAGATGAGGAGTGAGCTGACATGGTAGATTGTTGACTTTGGCCTCTCAGGTCCTGGGAATTGGTCAAGATGTCCCTCTAGGCCAAGCCGAAAGAAGTTAGTAAATGATTCTGGGCTAGAGTCTATGAAGGGAGGTGTTAAAATAAATGAAAACTAAATCTCCTTTTAGTATGTTCTAAAGATTCTAAATGTAATTTCCACTTTCAATAGGGTGTTAGGACAGTTGACTTAACCCAACTGACCATAAGCATGATTTTTCTAGCAATTGCAATAGCATGACAATCACCCATAAGATTAATACTGCATATGTTTCGTGTAAAATTAAGTATATAATCATTGGAAGTAGCTGAGTGATTATAGTGCTCGCCTATCAATCAAAAGGTCGCCGGATCGATCCTGAGAAAGTCTGTAGCTTTTTGATGGTACAAAACTGGACCCTGCTGTTCCTGACCATTGTGCTAAATAAATGCTTATGGCTTGTGAAACAGCTTATCTTAGTCAGTAACAAAGCTACACAGATCATCTCACACCATTCTACACTCATCCTTCACTCATGTTTGGGTTCAAATACACACCTAGGGTGTGTCCCCATCTCAATTGATAATAATAATCATTGTTGACTTGTGTGTTAATTTTTTACATCGATTTGTATCATGAGACAAAGTGTTCCTCTGTGTGACAGTGTGGTACGAGCGCAGCATGAGTGCGCCGTGTGAGTCACAGGACAAGCCGCGAGCCATGAGTCTGGACCTGGAGACTACGAGTCATAAGTCGCACCAGAGCCATGTCAGAAGACATCCTCCCACGTGTGTCATGCTGGTGTGGCTGGAGAGCTATGAGGACCATCTACACTTCCCTGCCAGTGAGTACAGGAGTGTCTCGTAAATAAAAAACCTACTAATCTATTTAAAGTATTTGAAGTACGTTTATAAACATAAAACTTTAAATTTATTACTAAATATCTTTAAAAAACTGACTGGTCTAGTGGCAGAGTGCAGGACTTCGGTCCCTGAAGTCCTGGGTTCAAATGCTGCTAAATCAGCAATGAAATCCATCCAAGTGATAACGCCACAACCGCTAGCTAGATCTAGCCTGAAGTAATGTGAAAATGGGCCAGTGCCTAGCTTCCTAGGACAAAAAACAGAATACCTAACTAAATCTGCATTTTATTTTAAATTTAATGTTTAAATTTATTTTATTGTCACACAAATTTGTAGAATCAATGCAATGCACAACAGTAACATAAACATACAAAACAAACCATCTTTAAGATAAAATAATAGATGGACGTGTTGTACTTTTAGTTCAGGACAGGACATGAAGCGTTATTTCCGTTACATTATTCAAAAAGGGAGGAACAGAAAAGAATTTTTCTCTCCTGGCACCTAGGGAATTTTTTTTAATCTTGTATGAAGATTCTTGCAAATGGTCACAATGAACATCAAATTTGTATTCTTTATTGCACTGTCCTATGTCATGACTGTAAACCACGATCCCGGCACTTACTGTCTCACTTGATCGCAAAGGCAACACCATCTTCTCCTTCAAGAGCGGTGAAATCGGATGTCTCGCAGATTGTGGTGAATTTACAAACAAGGTGTACATATAAATGTCAATAATCAAAACCTTCACATGATGTCAAGTTTGAAGTCAGTGTACAAGAGCTCACTAATTTGTCATGTTACAGGCGAGTTGCAGGCACACACCACCACAGGCCTGGAGACTCAGTCCGTGTCCAAGGCTCAGGACTGTTTTGTCATTTTCTTGCACGCTCTCAACAGTGGCCTGCTCAGAGTCAAGTTGCAGGGACCTACTGGCAGGTCAGTCAAACAAATATCTAGTCCTGTGTTCCCGTTGAATTGTTGATAACATTAGCAATGTCACAAGCCCAAAGTTACAGACCCATTGAGTGGTACTTGAGGCAACCCATCCAATGTGTAAAGCGTGTCTTTTTCTAAAAAAACTGTGAAACATTACAGAGAAGTAAGATACAGAGGAAATGCTTATGGAATAACCGTGCAATTTTAGCAATGGAATGGTGGGGTGGAAATATACTAGTACCGAGCAAGGAAGAGCCGGAACAGCTATTGTTTAAACAGCAGTTATAGCCCACGGGCTCTTCCCTACAGCATGGCAGCTGTAATACTTGATGGTGAGGGGGGGGGAGGGAGACCAATATTATTTGCACTAGACACAAGCGATGACTGGTGCTAGATACAACCTAAGTGGACCGTTAAATGCTTCTTCTGTATCTTACTTCTCCAGAAAACACGTAGATTATTTAACTGGTCACTAAGTTGGATTAAATATCAAGGTGAATTGTACCATCATATTAGCATAACTTGTTCTCTTCTGTGTGTGTGTTATGTTGAATAAGAAAGTTAAATTGTTGACAGAATGAACATGGCTACTCCGCTGGTGGATGGTATGGTTATTAGTAGGAGAGTCGTTGGCTCTCTGGTGAGACAGACTGCTCTGAACATCTGTCGCAGACGACGCCTGGATAATGACAGGTAACGTTTTAAGATAGAGAATATTTATATTCATCCATTAGTTAAGAGTACAGAACTCTTAACATGGAAGCTTGTGGTTAAAAACCAGTTAATCGCCAATGATTATTATAATCGATGCTACTGTATTAGCTTTGTGACAATGCCATAACCTGGATGGTAAGAAGCCATTATTCAGCTGTAAGTTAAAAACTTGAGTATTTTAGCTAAGCAGAACTCTTAGGCTTGAAAATCAAAATATTCTTCTATCTATCAAAACACCATGTGGTAATAATAATTTTTTAAGTAATCAGAGAAGGTCTATAGTTGTTGACTCTTTTGTCTAGCCTACTTTCTCACTTACAATCCAATAACGTTGAAATACATCTTATAAAGTCACAAATATCTCACAGGGGAAATTGCTTTGCAAAGAAAGATAACTTTCAATTCAACAATAACTCAAAAATATATACTACTCCTAAGGACATTTGAACCAAAGAAGGGATTAGGCCTCATCAACTCACTGCAACTACTTCCTCCAATCTCCTGCATCTTCTTCGTCGGTTCTCAAATTCTCCTATTTCAGTTTCATCTTTCAACCCTAACTGAATTGGATGGAACAATTCTTTATTGTATTTGAACTCCAATAAAAACAAAAATACAAATACTAATTGCAAAACATAAATCTTACCAATTAATTATCGTCAAACAATAAAGCCCTGAGTAACATTTTTAGTAATTAGAGCAACTTGTGGTTGGGTCGAGAAGAGGTTAGCTTAATTAACCTTTTCATTGGTGTTCCTAAAAAGTTTAATATAGTTTCCATTAATATTAATTTGATCATAATATGATATATAATATAATATTATATAATATTAATATTAATATAATACTAATATATTAATACTAATATAATACTAATATTAATATAATATAATACTAATATAATATTATTTTCATTTCACCTACCCACTGAGCTAGAAATACAACTGGAAGTAGCACTGACAAGACAACTTGGCTAGAAAATGCAGACGCTGTATTTTTTTTTTAGGTTAGCACCAATTACGGTAATCAGCTTATTGGCTCATGGCTTTATGTATGAACAATCACAAAATCCCATAGTTCAAATGTATAAAGTTACTTTATCCCCTTGTACAAATGGTAGTACGTCTCACATTTCTCTCATTCAGTGCTACCTCCAGTTATAGGCTTAGTGAGTCCACCTCTTAAGTCTGATGCTTGAAACAGACTCCTCAGTTCTCTATCATCCTCAATTCTCCAAGTTTTTGTCAGTCTAGTGTTTTGTACTTGATTTAACAATTGAATTTATTTTTAGTTCAAGCCTACAGTGAATATTGATGGTGTGAAAACATTTTTTACAGCTACCAACCTCCCCATGTTAGAAGACGGATGAAGGTACAAGAGTTGGTGTCCAAGTACCGCTGTGACATGAGTCAGCCAGAACTGTTGACGTACCTACTGACAGGAGCTCCCTGACCTCCAAGCTCCTGGAGACGCAAGACTGGCTACTCCAAACGCTGATGGTAACATCGGCTCGTATACTCCAGCTAAGGGCTTCGGCCATGTTGGGAACTTACAAAAGCACCTCTGTGAACTTGCAAGAAGCACTCTATACCGTACCGTGACTACAATAGTTTTCAGTAATCTAAGTACTTAAACATTCTTTTAGATTTCTTCTTCTAGAGACTATCAAACAATTTAAAGGAGGACTTCTGACTCAAGTTTGCAGAGAATTCGAAACTTGAGGGCAAGCTATGAGTTCATGTAACTAAGAATACAAAATGAAAGAGAAGTGAACAGAATGAAAGTAAATAAAAAGTGTTAGGTAACAAATATGGTACCTTAACCATTTAAAGTAGTTTAAAGTAAACTATTGTCAAACTTAAAAAAGGCTGGTTGAAATCTGTAACACCTTTAACAACAACTGAAAACTTGTATATAAATTGGCGCCATTATCCACCCCTTTGTTATGTAATGATTTTGTTATGTTTATGATATTTCTTTTCTTTGTTGAGTTAGAAAATTAGTTTTCAACAACATTTTGTCCAGTTTTTCCAAGTATGTAGCTTCATAATGTTCTAAATCTCCCCCATTTAATTCATAGAACTCTTTTGCTCTTTTTTTATGTTTCATCATGATCTTACTTAATTAATGTAAACCTAAATATACAGTATGAGTTCAGTATATAATACATATAAATTGGCACTGTAAAATAAACAAGTTTTTTAGTAAATTATTAAGTAACCTTTAGATTGTCAATTGTCATTTATGTTAAGTAGACATTTTAAATGTTGAATACTAATAATACTGTACTGATGGTAAATTTTATCTTTTTTTTATTTATTTATTGCTCTTGACAATTTTTACATTGTGTAGCATATAATGCTTATTCTAATATTTATAGTTACATATAGGTTATCTTCTAGTAAAGAAAGGTAAAATGTGTTTAGCTTTATTACTTGTATAAAATAAATGTACTTATGTAAAGATCTCAAAATGTAAATAAACTTTAGTTAATTTATATTAAAAGTGAGTGAATGGATATATTTTTTTGCACTTTAGATTGAAGATATATAATTTAATTTTTCATTTTTCTAACACTATGTGTAAATAAAAGCTATATTGAACCTGAATAAGAGTTATTTCTTCATCTAATTACCTGAAATTAAATACATGTTTTGTACCATTACAATTAAAATTGTTGGTTTATTTGATAAATGTTTAGAATAGATTTACAGTGGATTCCACATCATACAGATTTATGAATTATTTGTAAGGATAAAAAACAAATTTTTGTCATACTACAGCAAAAAGCAATTTTTAAATAAATGCTTTACGGATCTAAAGTAGCTCCTTTACTCCCTAAGGGAGTATAAAGTCTTTTTAGTCCCTAGGAGTAAAAGTCATCTGTTGTAAACATTGATTGTAAGCAATCACACGTATCAAAATAATGTATTGAATGATTTAATCGGTTGAAGCTTATTGTTGCATTCTTTTAAATAGTTTGACCTATCGATAGTATAATCTACAGTGCCACACTCGTAATAGACAAAATTATTAAATCACTTACCAGTACTAAACAGCTGCTAGTTTGCATTAGCAAAATTTCAAACAAGCTGGAAACCGTTTTGAGAGTTTATCTTTACATGAAAAGTATTTTCGTTTTATGACCTTATTTGTGAAATAATGTAGCAATAGGACAAAATATATAGTTCATCACACAGGCAAAAATTATCTTCAACCCTCGCTCATTTCCCGACTTAAACTTGACCTCGGTCGTGAAACTTGAGATCTGGTCAAAAAGAGTCTTTTTACACCCTAAATAATGAATAATGAAATATACTATTGATTTTTAAAATTCATGAAAAATTAACAAATAAATTAAACATAAAACACATATGCTGAGACAAGCTTTTGATATATTAATCTGAACATTCATTTTTAATATATTTTTTAATTCCTTACAGTTTACTTTTATAAATTTTATATCTCTATTAAATATTAGCCTACATTCTTCAAGGTTTGAATTCAATAAGGTACATTTATATTTTGAACAACTATAAGAAAAGCTTGTGGCTGGATTGATACCAGTCTGCTTATATTGAACTCTGAGTATTCTGAATAATACAGACTTCCTCGCTTCAGGGGACTTGTTTCATTTATTGAGGCAAAAAACTGCCTCGCCTTTCCTTACTTCAACAACCAAGTCTAATAAAATATACTTTCAGTCAACTCGGTTTGGTAAAATATAGTTTCAGTTGCACTTCGGTTGGTAAAATATAGCTTCAGTTAAGCTAGGGTTTGTAAAAAACTGTTTTAGTCGTAGTACTTGGGTTGGTAAAATTTACTTTCAGGGTTGCTAAAATATAATTGTGTTGTTCTAGGGCTAGAAAAATTTAGTTTCAAATAAACTGATTTTGGTAGGTTACCTTCATTATACTGAGATCTAATGAAATACTCATTTGGTTTACTTATATTCACATGATATAGGCTTAAGTCTTGATCCATTTAATAAACAAATCTTTATGAAGAAAATTTGGGTTTAGTTACAGAATTTTCAGGGATTAAAAACATGGGTCTAATAAAGAATGAACTTTGGGGAGAGAAAATTGCCAAAATATGTTCAAAAGATGAATTGAGAGCATAATATGAAAAAGAAAATGATAGAGATTCAGTCTATACAGTATAACGGAACTAGCATTGTTGGATGGCAAGTGAAGTGGTCAAAAAACAAAATACACACATTGTCGTTTAGACACTTGAAACAACTTTATCTGGTCTAAAACTGATATTATAAGGAAGACGTATTTCTATTAAGAAGTGTGTTTAATATGTGTTTTGTCTTTCAATTCGGTTACCGGTAGTTACCTACTTTTACTAGTAACCAAGGAAAAGATAAAAAATTCTATACAATACATTATTTCCCTTAAATTCATACCAATATTTATTTATGGCCAAAACGATTCCTTATAGTTTATGGGTTTTCAATGAAATGTCAACAAAGGAAGTAGGGTCTTTTGTTATAGAAGGAATGGTTTGAAGAAATTTAATATTTTCATCAAGCGTATGACGTAAATAAGGCTAAATAATAGTCTTTTGTTGATTTTATTAAAAGCTAAGTAGAGACAGGCATTCACAATAGAGTTCACGATCTTTGTTTGACACACAATACATAATGTTTTATTATAGGTAGTGATAAAATTAGCATATTTATGATGATTGCAAAGAAATATTACCAAACTTTTGCAGATTTTGTCTCTTCAACAAAAATATGTATCCTATATATTAAGAGGCGAGCATGTTACTTTGAAAATATTTTTTCTCAGCTTGTGTGCATTACAGGGAAAATCTTGCATTGAGACAAAACTAGTTGCTCTGCCCGTGCTTCGCTACGGGGTGAGAATGCAGAAAATAATAATTCAGTTTTACTTTAAGATACTATAATATTTATATACTATGAGAAACAGTTACAACACACTTACCAGGAAACATATAGGCAAAAGCTCAATCCTGCTTATTGATTATTTAAATTAAGATCTCTTAATTACGGTACTATCATTTTGTATAGTATATAGCATTTAAAATATATGCAAAAGTATAATTCATTGACCACATGGTACCAAGAAACAATTCTCCTTGTAAACAAATTAAATCAAATAGAAGAACAGCATTTCTGACAGCTGTAGTTTCATAACAATATTTGTTTCCCATGTTAATCTTATGGAGAAATACGAAACTTCAAAGGGCCCCCAGGGCTCACTCTCTAATTATTTCCCCAAAAAGAAAGTTTCCTGCACAACTTCACGTTACTCTCTTTCCAATGACACCAAAAACATGTCAATTGGTTCAGTAGTTTCGGAGGAGTAATTGTCACAAAAATCCTGCTTGCGTATTAAATAAGTACTAGTGTCCCTGTTGCTCGAATTCGAGCAATTTATAAGTATTACAGGCGTTATTTTAAAACGAATTTCAACCAAGTCAGCAAATATTTTTAGCAAACTGTTTAATTAGCAAACTTATTTACTGTTACAATTAACATATGCTCTTCTTCTCACTTTTGATTTCTGACAACAGCTGGAGTTTCATAACAATTTTTGTTTCCCATGTTAATCTTATGGAGAAATATGAAACTTTAAAGGGCCTTAGGGCCTCACTCTCTAATTATTTCCCTATAAAAAAAGTTTCCTGCACAATTTCACGTTACGCTCTTTCCAATGACACCAAAAACATGTCAATTGGTTCAGTAGTTTCGGAGGAGTAATTGTCAAAAAAAATCTGCTTGCGTATTAAATAAGTAATAAGATAGAATAGATATAAACAGAAAAACAAAACAAATGGATGAAATTACAATAACATGTTTTATTCACAGCATGGGATGAAAATAGAGAAGTTTGCACAATACATATTTTTGATCGAGTTTTCGACCACGAGGCAACCTCTAGTATATACATATCGCACTAACAACAGTTAGTGCATTGCAAGTAAATTAGGTATTTGTTAACCCTTAGTTCAACATATCGAGTTTTTTGTATAGTAATAACCTAATTCGTCAAAAACAATCCCTATTGTTATAGTTTCTGCTCAAACATTTGGTTTTCCTTATCACTATGATCAGTTTTGGTGTTGAAAGGACAAGGAAAGACAGTTTTTTGGTCTGAATAAGTAAAATTCTTCCTCTAGCACAGCGGAAGTGGTAGTCTATTATTCAAGCAACCCCGAGTACAATACAGGGTTGAATATACTCTGTGTAAAGTCACATTATCGTAAAGTAGTTTTACTATGTGACAACGTCTGTAATTTCCTGTCCTGCACTAGATCGCTCAAAAGAAGCAACAGTTTTTTATATAATTTAAAATAGGTGTCTCTAAATTCTTTGACAATTCAACATTATTCTTGGTTAATACCAAATGCTATAAATGTACGGTTAAAAGATTCATAGTTACATAGGTTGTTTGTTTGAAAAAAAAATATGATTTTATTTGTTTATATTAATTTTATGGAACATTCCTTGAGAATTGGCAAACTGAAGTAGGCTTGTACAATAAAACTGTGAAGTTATGACATAAAAATTAATTTTTTTAATGCAATCGTTTTTAGTATTAAATTAAATTATTGGAATCATAAACAAATTGTTTTAGTTATAGAAACCTTTTTTATACCATGTATTTTTTTGCAATTAGTAAAACTTTGTTATGATTTTTTTATTTTGTTATGTTGACCCACAAAACTGGAAGAATATTTGATCTTTAATCCTTGTGAATGAATAATGTGTCCTAGTTACTCGTATAATGAATCACACGATAATTTTTACTCAAAAATAGTTTCGACTAGGTTACCAAATCTCTTTTTTTCGCTTGTCTCAAAGTAATTTTTTTAATATAATCAATATACACGTTCAAGGGAAAGCAGTCCAAACTTCAAATCGACCAAATATTTGATCAATCTTAAGTAAGGTTTAAGACCACTCAGATTTCTATCAGCAAATGGACCTCTTGACAATTTTTTATTAATCTAGTCTACACTAACACCACCATTAAATAATTTACTGATAAAACATATTTTAATGACATTTAAAATCAATTTCACTGTAGAAAAGGGCATTAAATTAAACATTTTTTCACACTAAGTTTAAATAAAGATAAACGAGAATCCGAAAAAAAAAGCAAAAACAAACAGTCAAGTTTAGCACGACCCTGGAGAGAAAGGAAGTCACAAAACACTGTGGAAGCTA